GGTTTGGTAGTGTTGTGTTTGCGGGGGGGACAAAAAAAGAGAATTATTATTTGAATTTGGCAGACCACTTGCGATGACAACGCGCCTGTCAAGTGGAGAAAATAAAAGTGACGACAGTGTTATGCCGCACCTGAATGGAGTGATGCATATCACAAGTGACGTGGGAGAAAACCGCCAGAGCAGGCAGGGACACCGTGATGGCGCCGATGAGGTGACGCGGCATCCAACCTGACACGGCTTTCATCAGCGTCCGTGTGCACTTCAGAGCGCCGTCCAGGTAGAACGCCACACTGGGAAGGCGAACAACGGGAAGCGAAGAACACTTTGATGGGTGGAACTGAACGTCATCTGTGGTTGTCTCCGATGTTAAATTCATCAGTGTTTATTCGACTTGTACCCAGAGAGTCTAAAATAAGAATTCCATATATTGTCTGTCTGTGGATGGAATAGTGTCGTGTCAGTGGCCAAAACTGACTGGAGTATTGCGCCGGTGAGCGATCAAGGCAGCCGCTGAAAAACATATCCACTCTATATAGATATTGTGATTTAAAACAATACTTTATCATTATATAGGTAAACCTACGTGTGGATGAACCGTGTAGAGTCAGTGACCAAAATTGCATGCGAGTGCGTAGCACACAATGTGTCCATTGAATGGGGTCTTTCATCCATTCATCCATATATCAGTCTATCTGTCTTATCTATGAAAGAATCAATCCATCTATTTCCTGAAAAGATTTTCTATCAAACAGACATAAAGGCTGTGTTGTATCAATTATTTTGCCTTCAACTTTCATGGAAACGCAAAATACAACCCACATCTCAACAAGTGAGATTTGGCAGTTGTCTTCCCCCTTAAATTGCGTTTGAACAATCTGCAAGCATTTAAACCACATACTTCCCATTTCCTCATTCAGTAACGTTGTACAACGTGTTTTCTCACCGAATAGCAAACAAGAGTGCCAGGCCCTCCAGCAAGGCGGCCGCGGCGGTCATGGTGAGAGCCGGTGTGGGTAGACTCATCTGGGAGACGATGGGGTGAAGGAAACAAGCCAGCGATAAAGCCAGAAACACCAAAGAGCACAGCAGCATGTCCAGAAAAGAACTGAACGTTGGGCTGGCGAAAGTTTGCGTCGATGCTGGGGCCTCCACCTGCAACACACCAAAATCCAAATTAGAAAATCAAGTCTGTGTGTCCCAGTGGTTAGCGCGTCGACCTCACAGTGCAGAGGTACTGGTTCGATTCCAGCTCCGGCCTCCCTGTGTGGAGTTTGCATGTTCTCCCTGTGCCTGCGTGGGTTTTCTCCGGGTACTCCGGTTTCCTCCCACATTCCAAAAAAACCATGCATGGCAGGCTGATTGAACACTGCAAATTGTCCCTAGGCGTGAGTGTGAGCGTTGTTCGTGTCTGTGTGCCCTGCGATTGGCTAGGTGGTGGACACCCTGAACCGGTTGCCAGCCAACTACTGCCAACTACTGTCTGAAGACTGGCTCCAGCACCCCCCGCGACCCTTGTGAGGATAAAGCGGATCGGAAAATGAATGAATGAAAGTCTGTGTTAAGATTCACACATTGGACTTGTGAAGTCAAACTGCACTTCTGATGTACACCAGCAGAGAGCGCTACGGTCTCACAATAAAAGTGCCGCACTTCTCTCATGTCCTGCGGGATATTTCTCTGCCGCAGTCTTGAGAGATTCGAAGGCCACAAAGCCACTGACAAACACGATCAGAAGAAACAGGGAACATTTCGACGCAATCGGGGCTTACAATTCACAGAATCACAAAAAGACACCGGGTGTTTTGACAGCTGTTCGATTCATCAGTCCAAAGACAGCAATGCAAAGTACACACATAACGGTTACAAACATGTCTGTGCATTCATGACGCATAACACTTATACTCCATTTCAGGGTGACAAGAAAATAAGACTGTGAAGTCCCAAACTGTTGGGCTGCAGAAGTGATTTCCAAGGGTTTAAACACACATACGTATGGACGCCTTAACAACCACCTGTTCTTCAACAACCCCCAAATCAATACTCCATCTTAAACACACCTAGACATTGTTTACACATTTTGAAGCATCTTTGCATGTTTAAAAATTGTGGCATTAAAATGCGTTTTTTTTCTGTCTCTCTATAGAAAGGGGGCGTGGTGCTTAGATAGTTTGGGGATTGCTGCTCTGTGGTATCTCAACAATCTTTATTGTTGATATACTGTACACATTGGACTGGAAGGATTACCAAAACATTTCTTCAATGTGTGTGTGTTTTTTGTGTGAGAGCTGTGGCTGACAGCAGCTTTTGTGTGAGTGAGCCCCCACGCTGAGTTGCTGTTGCACTTTTCTCCCAGATTGTACTAAACAGTTGAAAAGTGAAATGGCGATTGTGGCTGTCCTTCCTCACGTGCCCTTGGAATCTACAAATATGCCATCACAACCCCTAAAATATGACACACTTGAAAATATGTGGATAGCGGTGGCGTGAATTATGAATGAACTTATTTGCAGTTAGTTTTTCTTTTTTATTCCCTAACTTTCCTATTTGCTGCGATTGGCTGGCAAACCGGGTCAGGGTGTCGCCCGCCTACTGGTTGAAGACAGCTGGGATAGGCTCCAGCACACCCCGTGAACCTTGTGAGGATAAAGCGGATCAGAAAATGGATGGATGGATGGATGGAACTCTCCTATTTGTTGTTTGGTGTCTGAGCCAAAAGAGCATCACTGTGGCGCCATATTATGGCAACTATGTTGAAGTGAATTGGTACGCTAGACAAAACACACAATCGACGATTGTGTGATCTCTGTTGGCAGTTCTCAACATTTTTTTTGGGGGTGGGGAGTGTGGGGGTCATCAATTACTTGTAGATTTTTGCTATTCTCTACAGTTAGGGAACGCGGTATAGCAAGGGAACACCGAATCCCAAATCCCCTCAAAACGGGCTCATTTTAAAAGCAAGTATTTGTCAAAATAATCTAATAAGAAGCGTGGGTCTCGGGACGACCTTTGCAAGGAAACAAACGCACCTCCTCTTGGTAGCTTATCTGGTAGGCAGACTCCAGGCTCTTATCCAGGAAAGTGAGGCACAGTTTGTTAATGGGCGGTCTGTAGAAATAGTCCTTCATCAGGCTGTCAAAGAAGGACAAATCGGTGCAAATTATCTCCAATGTGCCCTCCGTAGAGAGCAAAGTGACGTTAATGACACGCATTTCTTTAATGGCCTCGGAGGCTTTTTGCCTGTCCTCACCTGTCTCCTTTAATGACGTCCACAAAGTGGGCATCGCTTCTCTCACGGAAGTTCTTGGAGCGCAGCGGGATGAGCGCCGAATGGTCCATGCCGAGGGACCCTCCGACCCACGTCTTCTTCTCCTTCTCCTGCAGCATCTCGCACAGCGACGTTTGGCTGTTGTTAAGAGGTTCCAGCCGGGGACTCAGCAGGCCGTTCAGAGCTTTTGAGCCGAGGCCCGCAGATACACCCGTGGAACTCTTCAAACCCAAAACGTCCTGAGGAGAGACATTATAAGAGCTCCGAGGCTGTCTTCACAATAAACAGTCGAACTAGCAGCCGAACCTTGCCATTACTGGTCTTGTGGTCTTCATGGCAGCCATTGCTCACATCACCTTCCTCCAGCACCTTCTCATCCCCTGGTATGAGGACGACACTGCAGGATGGACACGGAGGCTGCAGGGAGGTCGAAGAGGAAAGAGATGGAGGCTTTGATTTGCATTTGGTGAGCCCGCCTAAATGAATGTTAAATGCTGGGAAAAAAAAGTCATTCTATCCATAGGGCGAGATCCTTCACCATACTTGAACTCATCTGACAGACATCTGACAGTTGAAATGCTGTGGTAGATGCTGCTGTTTTGGTTGGTGATAGGTTTTGAAAAAAAAAATGAATGATGAGGCTACTATTTGGTTCATTCAGTGCCATTTGCTTGCTCTAACGCTCTCAAAATCAAAAGATAAAAAAATCCAACTTTAGCTCTGATGATATAGATATTGAACAACTCAAAATGCGGACAGGCCCAAATAGGCCAACTTTTTTTTTTTTTTGTATGGCATTGTTTTATTTCTAATGGACCTCCCAATTGGCGTAACGGCACTAAAAGTTTTTAAGCATACAACTGGAAAATAATGAACTCGAGTCACGTCTACCATGTTGACACCAAGCCCATTATTGTGATTCATCCAGAAATTGTATTTTAAAAATGAACTTAATCATTACAAAAAAAAAAAAAAAAAAAATCAATAACTTAGGTGACAGGACTGAGCCAAGATATTCATTTCCCCAGTCAAAGTCGATATATCATCCACTATACAGGAAAAACAACGGAGCGAAGTTCCTTTTTGGCCTTCCAGTACCTTGCAGAGGATTTGGATGATGCAGCTTCTCGTGGACCATTTAACTTGTGGATTATCCCTAATTTTTTAAGAGAGAATAATGTTTAACGGAATACATTTTTGATGATAGAGTAACACAAATACATGTCTTGAATTATTACATTACATATCATCGTGAGGAAGCTAGAGTGCCAAACTCTAATTTTAGGAAGCCTAAGCAACCAGTGCAAATTTTCAAGTCGTCAAGGTAGTTTGAATCAATCACTGAAATTAGTTTAATACTTTTGCTTCCAAAAACAAGTGTTACACATCTAATATTACGGTGCATTTGTACATTTTATTTCCTGGGGTCACAAACGGTGTCATGTTCCTGTTCTTGTTTTCCCCAACAGGTGGCAGACTGGAGCCCATCCTGCTGTGTGCACAACTGCTGCCAATTTTATCATTAGGCAGCCATGTACTGTATTGGTCCAAATATAAGACGGCCCTGATTATAAGACGACCCCCTCTTTTTCAAGACTCAAGTTTGAAAAAAGACTTTTTGAACACCAAATTAATTTTTATACAGAAAATAATTACAGTACATCTGAAACAAATGATTATAACAATATATTTGAGAGAAAAAGCATGTTATTTTGCCTCATTCAAATCTAAAGTGCAATCACATTCGTAAATGAATGGCTTCTGGTTTTTGAAATGTAAATTACATCATAACTTCTCCTCAGCTGCCGGTTAACCTGGCCGATCTTCGACCCACTTTTCTCCAGATTGTCACTACGTTTCTCTATTTTCTGTTATCTATTATTTTCTTCTCTTTTCCTTCTTACCGCTATTTTTTATTTTTCTTCTTCGTGCTACCGCTATTTTTATTTTTATTCTTCGTGGCAGGGGTTCACTTTGGCCTGGGGAGTCAAGTTCAGCATTCGCTTCAATGATATCTGGCGCCATCAAGCGTGGTGAATGGGTATAATGTCTAGACCCCGAATATAAGACGACCTCCACTTTTTCAATGCAAAAAACACCGTCTTATGTTCGGGCCAATACAGTATTTAAGGACCAACAAACTTTCAGCAGTTTGTCAGAGTATTGTTGACCTTGCTGTTGCTCAACTGATCAATTTTCTAGACCTCTCGCTCTCGTCATGTTTGTTCTGGTTCTCTGGGTTCTATGTTTTAGTAAGTATAGTCTTGGTTTCGTTATTTATTCTTGCTTCACGTGAATTGGATTCTTGGCATTTCATTTGGTAGTCTCGGGTTAATTTCTTCCTTGCCTTTTGCAAGCGCTTTTGGTTGTAGTATTGTTTTTCTTTCCCCTGGTCATGATTTGACCAGCGATTTCTGTTTCTACTTTGTCAGTGCGTTTTGTGTAAATAAATGTCTTGTCTGGTGTCTACCATTCTGGGATCCTAATACATTATTCGGTTCGTTTCGAACCGTGACAAATGGCACCGATTTCACGAAATGCTCGGGTTGCTTTTTTTTAACACCCCCCCCCCCCGATGGGAAAAATGAGCTGCATATTTGAGGCATTTGAGGCATTCATTTGTTGAAGTGAATAACTAAGACACACAACATCTGTTAACAGTCGTGGCCACGATTTGTGGAAATACTGCATTTCGACTCCATTAGTAGAGAAACATGGACACCTCATGTATTTGGATGACCATGTCAGCATCTACTTTATTCAAGCTTTATTCGGCCCTTTCATGCGGATGTTGGTACAGTACTTGAAGATCCCCAGGTGTCATCCTTGAGATTGGGCCCTAAAGAGCTTGTGGAGGCTCTCAGTCGTACAGGAAAGTTCCATCGTAGAAAGGGTTCTGTCAGTCGAATATTAAAAGCAAAAGGTTCCAAGATCCCTTTTGGAGATGTGTGCGCTCTTGGAATTCAAATGAAAAATCGAAGTTGAGAAGGAACGAGCAGGATGTGCCCAGGCTCGTTACAGCATCAATAGCATCGAAGTACGTTTTCGCAACCGTAGCTCCTGTGCTGATTGTTTTTGAAAGCAAGAAACATATTCATCTTTCATATCACTAAATACAAATTCAAACGTAATTTACTCTGTAACGGCAGGCAATTTGCTTCAAGGAATTCAAGTCATGTAGAGTGAACGCTCGCTATATCACAACGCTGCATCAGTGTGATGCATTTTGTAATAACACATTTCGTCATCTTAATCTTCATTGTTCCCACAGAGTTGAGAATGTGTGTGTGTGTGTGTGTGTGTGTGTGTGTGTGTGTGTGTGTGTGTGTGTGTGTGTGTGTGCGCACGTGCATGCGTGCGTGCGTGCATGCGTGTCGTTACTCCGCAACCTGTGTGTGTGTGTGTGTGTGTGTGTGTGTGGTTACTCCGCAACTGTATATTTTAAAGGAGCAGTGGTTTCAATATACAGTGGTACCTCTACTTATGAAATTAATTGGTTCTGAAAGAAATTTCTTAACTAGAACATTTTTTTAAAGGAGCAGTGGTTTCAATATACAGTGGTACCTGTACTTATGAAATTAATTAATTTCTTCACTAGAACATTTTTTAAGTAGAGATGCGTTTTCCATGTAAATGCCCTAATTCGTTTCAAGCCCCCCCTTATCCCCCCAGTTCAGACAAATGTTTCCTAAAGCATAAAAATGCATCAAAAAAACAAATAAATGTTACAATTAGATTATTGCACAATAAATGAGAGTTGTGCATAATGTAAAAAACAAAGAATAAAGAATACAAATGATGGTCATTTAACTTTTAACTGTGTCCCCATCGCTTTTGGCCCTCTTTAGTCCATGTTCTCTCTCAGAAGTGGTTTTTGCCTGGCGTTTTGGAAAGAACTGATTCAAGGACATTTGCTTTTGTCGGCTGTTAACAATCCTTCGGAAAATGTCCAAGGCAAACCTCAGCATAGTGAGCGATCGCCAAACTGGTGAACACTTTTTCTGAGTGATTCACATTTACGTAAAACTATCAAAACACCTCATGACCCAAGGGGTGAATTACGAGGATGCCGCATCGACACATCTATTGAACTACACACATAGACACATGCGGTAGAGGTCCCTCTTATCCAATGGGATGCCAGGATGATGCTTAGTAATAGCCAATGGCAGAGCAGCTATAAGTATGTTGCGTTCAGGCCATACTGTATTTTTACCTTTTGTATCTTGAAATTTCTTTCGAAACAAGAGGCAATATTTTCCTGTTGAGACGTGTCGTAACTTGAAAATTTCGCATGAAGAGACGTTCGTAAGTAGAGGTACCACTGTAGAATGTATCATTATTATTTGATCCTTTTTGTTCTTTTATTATGGTAGCTCCTTCCCTGTCTAAGGAGTTTCCGATCACACCACTATGTTAGCAAAAGCTGTCAGACTTTCTTCAAGTGAAACTATATGGCTCGGTTGACCGTACAGATCTTTAAATATACTGCACTGTTACATTTTATTTTGCTTTCTGTGTCAGACAGGCAAACAAATTCGCATCGATCTTGTAGCAATTGCTACCGGGGCGCTAAGCGCGTGTTCTCTGTACAGCACATGTTCCTGGTCAGCTGTCACATTCACATTTTCTGTCCCACGGCAAGATCCCTATTGATTTCGAATAATGTCCGTTCCCCAAGATCCCGCCAATCTTTGCATTGAGTGGACATTGTCATCTGCCATCGTGTTTCCAATTTTTCATGATTTCATCGTTTACGGACTCTAATGAAGACTGCTGCTGAGGTTTTCATGGAAAATTGCTTTTGGCTCCCAACGTAAAAAAAAAATCATTTGCTTGCTCAGACCCAATATAATAATGGAAATGGCAAAGGGCTATCTAGTTCTTATTCAGTCCCCTTAAGGGAAGAGAATTGTGTATGCAAACACATTATTCAAGCCTCTGCAACACCCACATAAGCAAAAACTAATAGATGGTTATCCAATATGACTGTACATGAAGCTTCAGTATTGTAACTCAGGCAAAGAAGTGAAAAAGAAAAATCCTACATGACAGATGCTTCCGAACTTCTTTTGCGGTTTTATTATCATCATTATTTAAAATTTTTTTTTAGCTCACTCACCAGGGGAAGGCTGGAGGCTGACGGGGCTCCATCAAACGAGTGCGCTCCCTGCGTGCAGCACCTCAAATCGGCGTGCTCAGAGGCCGACTGGGAGCAGTTACAAGGAGGGGGCTTCTCCAGTTTCCTTCCAGAAATCAGGTAGGTCCTCAGGCCTAGAATGTTCCAGATGAAGAGATGTAGTGGTTTGACAGTATATGGAAAAAAAAAGCCAGTCTTTGCCATCCCTGTTATATGCCTTCATATACAGTATCATCACACAGTAGATCAATACAGCTGTTGGCTCATTGCCATTTCATATGTGTGGCATATAGGCATGCAACAAAGTCTATAAATATACATGAACACAAGATTAACTCCAACTGTAAGCCCACCCACCATCACTTTATCATCATGTGTTGGATGTGAATGACTAATGAGAACTAGTGGCGTGGTCCAAGATGGAAAAAAAATGATAGATATGTTGATTTCTCAATATCTATTGTTTTACAGCATTAGCGGTACTTGCAATCCCTTCTCATTTTTGTAATTTTTATTTATTTATTTTTTTGTCGTGAATGACTCGGCAGGCAAGTGATACACACACACACACACTTGCTCTTCTATTTGTGTCCGGGAACAGAATGAGCTTTAGGTCACTTCCTCATTTGTTTCGTTGCACAATCACAGAGTTAAGAAGCTTGACTCAGCTCGATGTTGACCAGCACAAAATTTGCCATCGTGTACCAAAGAGAGGAAAAATGTTAACATTTGGCCCAAGCTTCTGGATAGTGTAATTGGATATAACATATGTTCCATTATTAAATAACACCAAAGTTCATGTGAGGTGCAGGTATTAATTTTGCCGCCATCTTAATCTTCTTGTAGACGTACTGTTGAATAAGACAGTTTTTCTTTTAGGGAGGGCCACATGGCACTTTATCTTCTTTTTTCGGTGTGAAATCATCTGAAACTTTGGACATTGTCATTGGACAGTCTTGAACTGACTGCGTCATCCTGGCTTTTTTTTTCGACACGGAACAGTGTGTGAGGCAGAGATTGTAATCGGATTATCTGAGTTATTCAATAAATAATTTGAGTACTATACCCTCCCCCCCCCAAAAAAAATTGTAATTCTTGTTTTCATTCAAACAGCATGCAGGCACACGTGGGATTCATACTGGAGTGACCATGAGAGCATTTGAGACCTGTGTCGTCCCCGGTCTATCAGCATACATTCATTTCCGTCACTCCCATGAGGCATGCCCATATGTATTTTCGGTAAGCACTCGGACTCTTCTAAACAGTAACACCCAGCTTCCAACTTTGTGAGAATAAATTGGCCAAAGTCATTTTTCAACCCCAATTACACACTGAGAATGACCTAAAAACGAAGATTGTGAGCAGGGCTCTTTAAACCCCAATATCAAAAGCATCTGACGTCACCTCACAGAAGCCCATTTTCACAGGCACACTCTAAAGTCTAAAAGCAAGTGTTTTCGCAAGTGTGGAAGCTTTTATGGAGTCGCTCCAAAATGGGACCCAGCAGAAAGCTGTGCAGGTTAAAATACAACGACCGGTACCATCAATCCTCACAAAGCTGCAGTGTCTGGGCTCCTAAAAAATGCCATCTGCTACAGTGCAAAGTGTCACATTACTTATGCCATGTCAATATTTCATACCTCTGCAAAAGGAAATCTCAAAGTTCTGGGCTCATAAAAAACAGACCTGAAATAATGCAAGTAAGTCTTCATCCCTTAACACAAAATGTTGAAAGAGCCATATTGGACCAAAAAAAAACTCCAAAAAGAAATATGTCTGGAGCCGCAAAAAATTAAAAGCCTTATGTAAGCCTTACAATGAAGACAACACATGCTGTATGGATCTATATTTGCCTACAATCAAAATGACTAAGTTGGCTACAAATACACAATGAGCCTTCATGATTAAATGTTGTTTCCCTGCAATGCATCCTGTAGAGCAGGGGTGCCCAACCTTTTTTTACTTTTCTACTTTTCGATCAACCACCCTCCCGAGATCGACCCGTTACCGCACACGCGCGTCTACACACATACTTACACACGCATGCCTTAATGAGCAATAGCCGCACAGCCACTAAAATGAACGAGGTATGGGACGCACTTTTGCAGCGTGTTAACTATCGTAGCTCACGTGTTGCGTTTAAAATGCTTCTCTCAGCCATTCACATTCCCATTCTTTGCCAGTACCCTCGGTGAATTGAACATGAAATGCTGCTTTTTCACGACAGCCACCTGCCTGGCATCCCGTCCTGCTAATAGAAACGTGTGTCGCAGGCTATGACGCAAATCCTCATTGACAGAAATGTTGACATTTAATATTTAATCTACACATTTTTAAAGCATTGGAACATGTTAATGTTTGTGTCATGTTTGTCCTACTACAGAAACCATATTAAAACCAAAAATATATTTCCCTCCCCCATCGTTTTCCATTTTCAAACATTTTCGAAAAAGCTCCAGAGAGCCGCTAGGGCGGCGCTAAAGAGCCGCATGCGGCTCTGGAGCCGCGGGTTGCCGACCCCCGCCCGAACAGTTACTCAGAGTCTCTGTATATAACCAGAGGAAAACAAAGTGTCTATTTTACAAAGTTACACCTACGTACACATCCCTGCGCAACTCCTCAGTTGAGGAAGGAAGCGAGAGGAAGGTACGAGATAATACACGAGCATCAATGGGACGCCCACAGAAGCATTCCTTCCTCCAACAACCCACACGTATCATTAACCCCGCAGCTAGAGGCGGGTGTACTATGGAAGCGCAGCGTTGCTGAAGACGGGTCGATATCCAGGAGGATGCGGATTCAAGGAGCGAACAAGGTAAAGGGCGGCACTGGAGAGCTAATTCCCCGAATCGATGATCCACAATGGCAAAGTAGACATGAGGAGCATTGTCTGCTTCCATATTTGAGACAGACTCTTGTCTACTCACATAGACTCATCCAGCCAACTGATTTCATTAAGCATGTCCGAATCATCTTTATTGGCTAAAAAAAAAACATGGGGGTTATTTGTCTCTGGCAGTATGAGTATTGCAGTAACGAGCAATTATGTCAAAGACATGTCATATAAGTACAGAGAGCCTTTACGTCATGGAAGGAGAGTGTTTGTGCTGAAGACACCAACCAATGACACCTATGCAAACGCAGGGTCATCGAGCAAAGATAAGGTGATGAGCAGTGCGGTGAGACAACTTTGAATGTGCAATGATGCGCAAAGACCTTGAGCACTTCAAAAGTGTTAATGCTGTGGTATATTGATCAACGACAGTCACACAAATATTGCATGTAGAGAGCTGAAGCTGCAAGAATCAATACAGGAGATGTACAAAAGTGGCAAACATTTGCAAGGTGCCACTATGGAATTTTGAGTCAACTGTTTCGGGAACTTATGGCAAGAGGGAAGAATCTGCTGGAATGTCTGCTTTTCAGCAATTCTAACTGTCCGTTGCAGTCGGATTTTGACCTTTTTTGTGGCGCCACCAAACCAGTTCGAACCAGACACCCTCCATGACACGCCGGCATCGGCACAAGCTCGTTGGTTACATTAAGACTTTTGCCATTTTGTTTTTCTCTGTCTCCTATTTTTTTCCTCTTAAAAAAAAGAGGAGAGAGAGAGAGAGAGAGAGAGAGAGAGAGAGAGAGAGAGAGAGAGACAGAGACAGAGACAGAGACAGAGACAGAGAGAGAGAGAGAGAGAGAGAGAGATAGATTGCTTACAATGTGAGAGAGAGAGAGAGAGAGAGAGAGATTGCTTACAATGCGGGCAAATTGAGCAGTGCGTATATGAATAACTTTTGCCTGTTTTGCTATCAGAGATGGTTTGGTCAATTAGTCACTGATCAAAAACTGAATTCATCACACATTTATTGAGCCAGAGCAGTCACTGGATGTATGAAAGGAAGTGGAAAGTTGATGCGAATGTGTGAGCCCTTGCGCTGACGCACACTCTGAAGCCAGGCCTGGCAGGGGGAGCTTAATTAAACTCTGCAGGGGTAACAAACGTGCTCCAAAGCTACCTGGCGTCCATGTTTCATCCGCCTTAACAGAATGTGAAAAACCTGAGGAAGTCCATCAGTGCGTTACTGGTTGGGAGGGAATGCATTGGTATGCACAGTAAACTGTGGACCGGGCGGTATTTCGCCTTTGGGACTCAAGAACGCCGTTCTCCAACAGCCTGCCATGGATCCTGAGAAAACTTGAATACGGAGAAGAAAATGGCCAAAATTCCACGGCACATTATGCAATGATAAATACAGTACATCGTAAAAATGTAGATGAAGGGATACAGAGTGTGCTCTGTTGTAACTTTCCACCAAGATGAACCAAGATCTGGTGAGTTTGGATTCTTTCAAGTTAATTTATATAACCAACATACTACAGATGGAAGGATGAAGAAAAAAAAATCAATGAACAGACCATTACTCAACTCCACGCAGTTCCATTATCTTGAATGACTCAAATGTGCCGACCGTGCTTAGTCTGCCATTGTTGTTTCAGTTGTGACACACTCATGCGGCACTACACCAAACTTAGATGCAAATGTCTGCAGATTTTACAGAAAAACATTTTGAGTGATGACCAGGGATGCAACAAAAAGGGCATTTGGACCCCCATGGTTTGCAGGTTTTAAAACGCTGTTGGTATCCAATACTGGTGAAATATCAGACATCCACCGTTTGAGAAAAGTAACAGATTTTTGCTAGCATACTTCTTTTTCTCAAATACTTACACTCCGAGCACTCCAAGTTTGCATTTTTGGGTCCACTTTTATGTAATCACTTTGTTCCATTGATCTTCTCCGACAGACAGACGCCTTTCTGACAATGACTCAAGTGGTTTTTCTGCCATGGGTGACACAAATTCGTCTGCATGCCGCCCGGCTAACCGAGGACAATCTCTTGTATTTACAACCCACCGGGTGGCGGCTGGAATTGCCAAACTGTCAGTCAGTAAATTGTAGCTCTGATCAACTGGTCTGACTAGTTGCCGTAAGACGTTGTTGATTTCCTCCGGGTCCGACATCATCTGAATACAAACAGTGCTAGGCATACCTCATGACAGTGCGGAGGAAGGTCAACTTCACGCCGTTTGTTCGTATCGATCAGTTCTGTGTTTTTCCAGCTGAGCCTGTGATGCA